ATCTTTGGCTTCAAGATCCGCGTGGAGAATCCTCAAGGCGGGCCGAAGGTTGCCAAAGCTTCTCGCCTGAGCGTCCAAAGTCCAAATTCGCCGTGTTGTGTCGGATACTGTGCCATGGGACTATAGTAGGGCCACATAGACTTCAGACATATATAATATATACAGTATATATATATTTTTTAATATGCATTTGTTTTTGTGAGTGCCCTGTTTGGGGGGGGGGTTGGAGGGAAACCGAGGGGAGAAATCAAACCCATTTCGAGGGTTTCGCAACTTGCAGACTCGTGAGGCTTCAACCCGGCGCAAGTGGAGGGATGGAACCTCTTCACCGCCGACGCAGGGCACCTCAGCGGGCGGAAAAGTTGAATGCGTTCCCTTGAAGTGATATGGGTGTGCTTCTTGTTTTTGTTTGATTTTGTTGGTTCTCGGCTCTGTTTTCCTTTTTTTTTTTTTTCTTCGGGGTATCCCTTGGGGTTGGATATGATTTGGGGCCCCGTATTTTTAGACTTACTGCGTGTTGCTTGTTACGCGGGTTTTATGTGCGAACGTAGTTAGTGTGCACAAGTGAATTCGGGATATTCGGAGCGACCTGGGGAAGGGTGGGTCCCTTTGGGGAGTTGAGTTGGGGAGCTCACCACATGTTCCACACAAAAAGCAGGGTGAGAACCCCATTTTCTCGTATCCGGCCCGTGTCCTCTTACCACTGAAACTCACTTTCTGAATGGCTAGACTTTTTTTGGGGGGGAAGACCCTTGTAGTGATGAACAAAAAGTCTGTTTTGGTTTTGGCCAATCCACTTAGGATGTGGCCAATGTTTGACTGCAAGTTGGAAGCACTTGCATGCGTTGTTTATTTGTGGGTGGGTGGTATGTTGATACTTTGTTGCTGTCTGTTAAATGGTTAAAGCGAACATATCACATCTATTTGTATTGCCACCATGCACTCAGTCTCATTGAGCTACACTGTTGCGGGTCCTTTTTCAAGGAAATGAAGCAACAGCCACCATGAGCGCGGGGTCCCCCTATTAAGACACTCCCTTCATTCGCCAGTCGAGCGACTACATTGTGGACGGGACGCCGCAGTCGGTGCCTCAGGCAGATTGAGCCTTCCAAACACGTGGGTTGCTTCCATTTTCCTTTCAGTTGGAAAGGAGTTTTGACTTAAATCAACCAGCAATGAAAGGCCCGAACTTCCCCAAGCCACTTGGCTTCTGAGTAAAGTCAGATTCGGATTCATTTGGAGGAACTAGTCAGGGGTGGGTTCCCGATTGAATGGGGAATCGGTTTATAGGGGCTATGGTTTTCTTTGAAGCTGACATGAATGGTGACGAAGGAAAAAGTATCCCCTGGTCGATTGCTATGGGTGCGACCCATAGAGCGAATGCTTGACTTTTGTTGCAAACGGACAAACACCTCAATGTTAGCTTGCAGGTTTATTTATACTCAGGCCGCTCAGGCGAGGATCTTCAACTTGCTGTTCCGAGGGAGCAGTCTAGAGGGGCAGCAACGTGATGTTGTTTGCTAGCAGTGTAAGATTACAGCAAGTTCACAGTGTGAAACAAGGGTGGCGATGTATTGAACCCTGTCCCCATGCACTCGTAGTCACCACAACTTGGAAGATCATTATTTGAGGTAGTTGATCTATAAGTTTCCACTGTCGATGTAGGACGAGCTTGCAAGCCATGCTTGTCACCTATGGAGCCACAAAGCAAGAATTCTTCCGGCCGTAGCAAATACACCCAGGACCCGTGCCCATGTAACCCCCATCACAGGTTCCTTGTAATTTGGACCAGAATCAAGCATCTGTTCTTGGGGCAAAAGCTGAGAAAGTGGAGATGTATGCATGTTGCAATCGCAACGGGATGCCTTGCTCCATTGGCAAAGGCACGCCACCCCTGATCTAAATAGTGTACAGATTGCTTCAGAACAGCACCAATCACAGGTCATAGTACCACTCCAGGCAAGCCAGTTTGCAATTGCTTGACATGCAATCAAATTAATGCTCAAGAGTTCTTGGCTAGCCCTCCACTATCTTATTTGGCCTGTCGCTGAGGTGTTAGACCAGGACTTTTGCTTGGTAGGGGTTCAAGGCTGTAATGACTTGTTTCAGCACGGACATATTTGTGATGAGAATCGCTGCCTGAAGTTTGGAAAGAAAAACGGCAACAACTCAAGTCTCGAGATTGAGATTCTCAACTGGCAAGTCACAACTGACAGAGTTGGCAACAGAAATCAGATCAGAGGAGAGCTGTGCAACATATATCATGGACTGCATGTTGCACCCTGTGACACTCCATAACTTTGGTCTCGCACACCTGCAGATTGGAGAAGAGCTCGCCCATGCCAAGGACCATCCCCTTTACGGAGCTGGATGACACCAGCTCGGCCCACAGATGCCGAGGGACAGATGGGCAAAGCTGCTGCGGAGCAACTGGATGACAGAAAGACTAGCGAGCTCGAGGTCTAGGGGTAGACGAGATCACTCACGAAGGTTCTATGGGTGAGGGGGCTGATGGGGGCCGTACAGCTGCTTTTGGTAGCTTGTGTAGATGCTGCCAAGTTCCGGAGGTTCATGGCATGGAGGCCGAAGCTTTCGGCTTTGAGAGGGCCATGGCCATGATTCCTGGCGTGGCGTTGACAGGATGTGTGTGTCGAAATGGGGGGGGGGACTGCCCAAATGGCTTGTTGGTGTTGCCCTTTAAAACCGAGCTGCAAAGGGTTTCCTCACAAAGGCACCCAGATCAAATCAACCACATGGCTTAAGCTTCGAGTCTTTGCCAGGTTCAAATAGCCGGGCTGACTTGAGCTCTAGTCAGTGATTTGGCGAAGGTGCGCAGATCCAGAGCTTCGTTTGCCCTGAAGCCGCGCTCCAGCATCCCAGATCCATCTCTGCCCACCCACCCCAGCTGAACACACATCAAACGAGGCAACATGCACAGAAGCGCGCTCGATGATGCACAAAATGTGTCGAATACGTTAATTTCTCCGCAACGCACAAGGCTGGGGTATCTATTCCAGTTCCAACCTGGAGGTGATGGTGAGGGCGCAGCCGTCCTCTTTACATTGATGTCCTTCAGGATGGCTCCTGCGGTTCCTAGATGACCAAACTGCTAGTGTAGAAAGTTTGTGAGGGGTTTTTCTACAAGGGTCTTCGGAGAAACCCTGTTGTATGTGTGGATGAATTCAACGTCACCTTTTCGAGCCATGTTGGGCTTGTGTTTCCCTTTGGGTGGGGTGATGTTTGAAGGGATACGGAAGTGCCCACACATCGATTGAACAGGCGCACTCCGGAGGCATGTTGGGCATTGACGCGTGCACATCGCCCCTTGTCTGGCCTCTCCACAGCGCGCTGCGCGTGAAAGGTTGCTGTCATGACTGTCTTGTCTGAGCGTGTCCGTTGTCTGCTCGCTTTCGGTCTGATATCGTGGAATGCCCAGAAGGAGGTTTCGATCTTTGCTTCATTGATTACATGCAATCCAATAATTTTGGTTTCTGGGGAGAGAGCTTTTGCATGCATTTGCAAGATACATATACACATTACGACCAGATGTTCAGGAACTAGCCAGCTTCTCACAAGCAGGTTCCCTTCGCTCACGTCACGTGGCAATGCGTGTGGCCGAGAACCATATGTTGGAACTTGTTGGCTCGTTGCAGAATGCTTAGCATCCATGCCATTTCCTTCTGGGTCCCTGGTTTGGTTTCGGACACCCAACTCAGTCAGGTGAAGGCCTAGAGAAACTTACTTGGGCAATTGGTGTGGCCCCATTGTTGTGCACCTTGCGTCCCAGGAAAAACAATGTGTTGTAATATTTGTCCAAATGAGGAGTTCCTCAAATTTTGCACACCCCGCATGCAATGAACGTTGGATTGGGCTTAATGTTGATAGTTCAGGGAAGATGGCTGCCCATGTTGCCCGTTTTTGGATGGCTGAGACTAGTTGAGACACCGTTTCGGGCCGGCCCATTGGAAGGGAATTCCCATTTGGCGTGGTGATGTTTATAGGGAAATCTAGCGAACCCTTGCGGGTTTCAGAGAGCTGCCTCGGTTTGTCGCCTTGGGCATGGTGTTTGCAAGCCCATGGCAGGTTTCGGACTTGCGACCCTTCCAGATGACGGAAAGGAGGGCCTTTGTGTCCGGCTCTCGGTCCAAGCGTGGGGCAAAACATATTTACTTGAGTAGAACAGTACCCTTGACAACAGATAGCTGGAAGGAGGTTTGTAAAACGATAGTGGCTTAAGCATGTTTAGACAGTTGGTTGGCCCCATCCAGTCTCCAAGGCTCAAGAACTGCATGACTGCCTGGGGAAAGTTGCTGCCTGCCTCTTTGGCTCGTTTGACATCCCCAGGAAGCTATCGGAAATCCAGCTCAGCCAAATGCAAAAGCATTCCTTTAAAAAGAACATAGCAGAACTTGGTGTTCGTTTTGGTTTTGAGGAACCTGTGTGGGTGTTTCTGAAAAATGGGGGGCCCAGTTCGGGCTTGTTTTTTGTTGGGGGTACCCTTTTAAGGTTGCCTTACAGTGAAACCAGAAGGAAGCCCACCACTTTTGGGGCACCCCCAATTCTTTGACATGCCATTCCGCCAGGTCAGTTTCCTTGTTTGGTTTCCCTTTGAAGCCATCCAAGTTTGCCTATTTTGAGACCCACGGCTCTGAGAGCTGGCCTTGGCCCAATGGACCCTGGGAAGGGAACACCCGTTTTTCCAAAGCCTCTGGGTGCTAGTCAGGAAAGAGGTGCAATGAGTTTCCAAGGTTCTATATGTGGCTGTGAGTTGCGTGGGTTGTACCTATACCATTGGGGCGAAGCTATTGCCAACACTTTAAACCTTCGCTTAGTTTTGCCTTCTGCCACTATGCCCGTCTTCATAACATCATCATACCCTGTTTGAATCTGCAAGTGGCAGAGCCGCAGCTCACCTCATGCACGCTCAAATTGAGACATGTGCATCCAACCAGGATCGAAAGTGCCGGGGCCGCTTTTTTGACTCCCCGCAGCATTTGAAGCCCCTGTCCGGAAAGTGACGAGACCTTTGCAAAGCGGGGTTCGACTGCCGAGAAGACAGGGGGCCACAGGCATGAGACTCCTTCCCTGAACTTGTCACCTGTTGGGTTGGCAGGCATTGGATTTTGGTAGGCCTCATGAGTCTCAAACATTCTTGGTAGATGTCTTGCCGTAAGGGCAACCAATCGTTGTGTGTGTGTTTTTTTTCTTCTTGGGAACTGGGCTTCAAACGGATTCAGACCCCATGTTGCTGTTGGGAAACGCCTGGTGCTCACATTGGTTCTTGGAAGGGAGTGGTGCGAGTTGGGAGGCAAATGGCACCAAGGATTGTGGGTGTGTCATAAAACGGGCACCCTCAAAACGGGTCCTCTTTTTGGTTCCCTTCAAACCAACCCCCCTAAAAACACATCCCAAGGTCTGTGATGATTAGCAACCACCCGGTGGGCGACACCGGCTTCATTCGCTTTCGAGCCCCGGAGGGCTATGCCGCAGCCCCAGGAGATTCAAAGAAATGGTTCTATAGCAAGGACACGGCGAAAACCTTTGCGTGATGTTTGTTGTGTTTGTGTGTGTTTTTGTTGTGTGTCCAGGAAACGGATAGCACTATAGGCACACATGTCACATACAGGCAGAGTGGTTGCCCCTGGTGGTAACACACCCAATTCACTTGTTCTGGGCAAGTACTGGATGGGATTCATGTCAGAGACTTGCCAGCCTGAAGCCCACTCGCTCACAGAACGGGCTCGACCTGTGACAGCGTTAACAACAGGATATGGAAACGCGCCCAAACATGTTTTTGCTTGCTGGTGTGTTGCGCCTTTCCTGGATGTTGACAAAATATCGTCTCAAAGAGGGTTGACTAGTCAGATTTGTCTGCTCCTTTTCCCGACGCCTTCCAGTTGCGCAAAGTGTTTATTATATGAGTTAGCATCAAAATTACCGTCATGTACTTTATATGGGGGTGTTTCATGCACGTATTGTGTTTGTGTTTTTGGTGGAAAAACGATACGGGACGTCCAAAAAAACGATACCCCTTCAGCAAGTTGGCATTGGTTGCAAACACAAATGTATTGTTAGTTTGTGTGTTCTCCTAGAGCATGTGAGTGTTTATTTGCTTGGTCGAGACTTGCAACTAGGCCCTTCCTTTGCAAGGGTTGCAGGGCAGGGGGATCAAAAGGGAACTTCACATTTGGAGCACCAGCTGGCTTGTGACAAGCCACGTGTGGCAAAAACAAGCTGTGTTTGAACGGGGCGAATGTTTGTAGCATGTGTCCACCACATTGCAGCATTAACTGCCGGCCAGGAAGAAGCATTACGAGTTGTAGTTGGGCAAAAGTCTTTCTTCTAGCGTTTGCGTTTTTGAAGGGGATGTAAAAGTAGGAAGTTTAGAAGGGGTGCAACTGTAGTTCTCCGTTTGGCCAATGAAGTTTAGAAGGAGCTTGCGCAATACTGGAACTAAATGTGCGCGGGAAAAAAGCTACGACAAATGCTAGAAAGCGCGAGAGCTGGTGGAGCGTCCATAGACGGAAACCAAGACCTCAGCTATGCATTCTGAGGATTGCCCTTTTGCTGGCCACGCAAGGTGCTTGGGAGGTTACCTTTCTTCGGCCGCAAGCAAACTGCAGGATTGCATTTTGCACTCTCCAGCGCTTCTCTGAGGATCCTTAGAGCGGAAGTAAGACAGTTGTCAAACAGCGCCGCTTCCAGAAAAAAAACGACCACCAAAACGATACCCCAAAACGATACCCCGACGATACCCCCGCAATGGGCCAGGATGCTAAATGTCGGGGGTGGCCCACTTGACACCAAAGCGCTACCCCTGCACTTACGAGGAGACACACATTTGGGGGTGGCTTGTGAAAGAACTGCAATGCTGGAGAGGGCAAGGATTGTAATGCCAGGAATTGCCAGGCAGCCTTGCAGCCGTGCAGCCACAAACCGGCGGTGCTGGGCTAACACAGGAAGAATCACGATGGGTTGAGGAGTGCGTGTTGAGGAGAAGTGGAAAGCTTTGACCCAGGAGGGGCAGCATGCTCGCATAGAGAGAGCTGCCTCGGCACCAAAGGCTGAGCCGAACAGCGCGGAAAAGCAATTGTCAAGGTAATCGCGAAGAGTGCCCGCGAGAAGGTGAAGAAGACCACTGCAGTGAGGAAGCCAGCCTCTCAGCTCCAGCGCCGGCGGTGCTGCGGGCCTGAAACTGCCTCGAGACTGGGAGACAGCAAGGGGCGCACTTGCTGGACAAGGGCAGGACTTGAGGAGGCAACGATGAGAGAAAGCGTGGCAGACCCAGCAAGGGGGGAGAGCTGATTGAGAAGAGGTGCAAAGCTAGGCAAAAGCAGCGGCGCAACAGCCGTTGGAGGAGGACTCTGTGTCAAGTGCAAGTTCCTCCTCCTCAAGCTCGAACTCAAACTCTGAGGGGGACTAAAAGGAATCTGCGGCCCGTGGTGTGAGTTGCGTTGCTTGCAGGGATTGCGCTTTGGCCGCCGTGTGGTTTTATACCGGGGAACGCCCGCTTGTGGGAGCTTCCGTTCCGTTGCTGTTACGTTGGCGCTGTCCCCGCAAAGAATCGTTTGGTAGCAAGCACGGAGGCAGGGATGTGTCCCGTATCCACGGCCTGCAAAACGATACGGGACGTCCTTTTTAAGCAAAACCTGTAAAACGATACGGGACGTCCTAACACCGAATGAATACACCCCAGACAAGTAATTTTGACGGTGTCTCATATATATATATACATATATATGCTTACGTACTCACTGTTGGTCTCAACAGAAATCATTCATCACTAGCAAAGCTTTGATTATTTGGTGGCACCGAAAGCACAATTGGTTCCGGGTATCCATAGCCGGATTGGCACAAACTGTGTGTTTCCAAAGAATGGGTCTTCCCAAAACGAGTTGGTTTCGGCTCAGGTTTCCCCCAGACACACATCGAAGAGGAAAAACAAATGTGGTTGGTTTCTGCTTTGTTTTCCTTTCGACACCATCCAAAAGGCCCCCTGCTTGTCTAGGTAGGGGAAGCCCTGAACTGGACTCTCAGATGTGTTTTTGTCTTGTAAGGTTGACTAAATGTGAAACTGCATCTGAACGTACTAGGCGTACCCTGTTGTGCCAAGTAAACTGTGTCCCCGAGGTCTCGGACCTCGTACCTTTCGGGAAGATCATTTGAGTGGTAAGCGAGCCATAAGACCTGACCTGAGGTTTGGAGCTTTGACGATTCCGAGTTCGTGTACCAGACCTTGGAGAACACGGCGCCAGGTGGGCTGCTTGCCTTTTGTTCAGAACGGACGTGAAGTAATCTCTTAGGTTTGGACCTGGTTTGTCCACTTAGTACAGGTTGACCTTTTCTTTCCAGGTCCTTTGGGCAAGTGAGTATCAGTTGAATTGGCAAACTTGAAACTTTTCGTTGGCAGGCTCTTCCTCAATTGAGCTTGTGTTTTTTCGAGTGTGCCCTTTTCAGCTTGGTTGCAAGGGATACTAGCAGGAGAAGCATTATTTTGGGGGGCACTCACTATTTTGACACACACCCATTTTAGTCAGAGCTCAAAAAGATGTAACTTTTACTCGCTAATTACCTGAGCAGGTCAAGCAGTTTGTGGTTTCCGGTCCACACCCCCGAAGCAATATATGGAAGTGGGGTACCTCCATGGGCACTGGGCGGATGCAATCATGAGGCGTTATTTGTTTTCCCGTGGGGTGAAGACAAGGCGGACTCACCGAATTTCCGCCACCAAAACCACGGGGGACACTGAGTTTCCCACGTCCATTGCAGGAAACGGCACATTCTCCACCGTGGCTCAAATCCGAAAACGGCTGTCGATGCTTGGCTTCACGGCTGTGCACGCAAAGGCCACTTCTTGGTCGTTCAACACCTTCCCCAAAAAGACCGCGTCCAAGCTCGAAAACAGACACACCCACATGACCCACATTATACATTGACAGGGAATCCCTTGCGAACTGATCGCGTCAGCCTGGCTCAGAGCGCCGCCAAGTGGCCAAAGTGAGACGCTTAGCTGGGAAGACATGCTTCAACGTCACGCATCCGGAAGGTCACTTACTTGGGGATACGTTGGTTGAGGCTAGTGCAAGAAGAACGTTTACACAGGTTGGGTGGATGGCTAGTTTCATTTGGCCATCGGGCCGCGCCCTTAGAAGCCATCCCGCCTAACGCAAAATCAAGCAGCCCAGATTTTCTGCAGTCCTGCGAGCAGAACGGTCCTTTTGCTGCCCACTTCCCTGAAGTCAAAGCCCTTCCGGGTCGCCCAAGGCTTGTACACCCACTTGTTGTTTTTGAGCATTCATTCATAAACCACGTATACATTTACATGCACACATACACATACATAGTTATATATATATATACTCTGTATATGTATATCTGCAGACACACAGACACATACCCGCGCGCACACAGGGCCTCAGCCATGGATCCCCTGGGCACGGGTTCCACCGCCTCGCCGTCCGAGAGCTTCGCGTGGCAGAGGGAGCTGGAGCTCTTTGCGGGGCGAGTGGCGCGCAGCAAAGCGCAGGCCGCTGGGGACTTTTCCGCCGCACGCAAAGCGCAGTGAGGGAAACCAACCTTTGCCATCTTTCAAGTGAGGAGCCTCAATGTTTTGTTCAGGGCGGGGGGACACCCTTTTTTGGGTTCCATGTTATTTTGTAGGGGTTTGCCAGGATTCAAGTGAGCCTCAACTTTGGGGGATGGTGCGGAACTGTTTGGGACACCCTTTTTTGGGCTCCATGTTAAATTGTAGGGGTAACCCGGAAGGCACTTCTATGAGCTTCTATGGCGTATTTGCCCGCATATATATATATATATACCCTCATGGGCAAAATCTTGGGCAATATGACCTACATGGAGTGTTTGGGAGCCAGACCTTGCTTCCCCTAGAGCAAGATCTGTTGATCCACTTGGAATTTGGCTTTGGGTGCGGGTTGGGGGTATTGGTTTGGGGATTGTGCAATGTTTGTTTGACCTGCAAAGGACCAACCAGGGGCTTTCCCCTTTAACAAAAACCAATTGTTGAAACCAGGCTGGTTATCCAAGAACGCAAAAATGGGGGGCTGGGCCGAACCCGGCAGGCCGCGCAGGCGGCGCGACAGAGCGCTGAGGAGGCAGAAAGGGGCTGAGGGGTGGGGGGGGTCCAAGAGAGGGAGATGGCGAGCTATGCATTGGAGACGAGCGAAAAGTCAAAGAGCCAATGCTTCTGGCTTTGGAGCATCCCTGACAACAATGCAACAGACATGTTGGAGGATTTGGGGGTGAGTGTTTGGGGGGTGGGGGGTGTGTTTGCTGCAGGGTGCTTGTTGTTCTCTTTTTGGTGGATTTAAGCATGACCTTTTTGGCCATGTTTATAGATCAGTCTCCTTTTGTGGGGTGCTGATCAAAGGAAACATAGATGGCGTTGAAGCTTCGGAAGTTTGAATTGGAAGGTCGCCCCTTTTGGTTGCTTTGGATTCCTTGGAGAGTTTAGGGTTGGTGAGGTTTCATGAAGTCAAGGTCTAAGGGGCGCCAGCCCTGCAACCCGTACGAGCGCAACACCCCTAAGATTAATCTTCTGAACCCGGAAGGCCATATGAATCAGGGTTGGTTTCCGACTTAGTGGGGAAGCAACTCTTTGTTGATTGAAGTTGTGCTCCAGATTGATCGGAAGCGCGGTGCGTTTTCATGACGACGCAAGTAGGAATCTTCTATTTGTGACTCCGTGTGTCCACTTATTCTTATCATGGGAAACATTGCCATGGATGCTCACGCGAGTGAAGCAGTCGACCGCGCAGTACAAACGCAGCGTGGCAGGACCTGGAAGGGGAGAAAGGTAAGCGAGCCAAGCGTTGAGAAGACAAGGCAAATTCGTGGCCAACAGATCGAAATCAAGAGGGCCCTGACAGGGCCAGGAAGATGTCGAGTGAGCAAAATCAGCTAAGGAGTCCATGTCTGGCAGACTAAGCACGTCAATGTGGGAGTCCAAGCAAAAGCCATTAGTGAACAAAGCGACGCGAAGCAGCGAGCATGAGGCCAGCAAGCCTCATCAAAGGCACAAGAAACAGGGCAAAAGCAGCAGGAGAGTTGTCCATGCCGCTGAGATGGAGCAACAGTAGCAACCAGCCCCCCAACCCACCACACCCCCTCCTCACCCCCTGCGAGGTGACCGGACAGTGCAGAAATGGCCCGGAACGTGCAAAAATACCCAGGCCCAACACCAGCACGCCTCCAACAAGTGATTGCGGAATCTGTCCAACAAGAACCCTAAAGGAAGGTTCGAGCAGGTTCAGTTTTGGGAAACAATCATGTGCATGTGGTGTCTTTGCCATTCCTGTCAAACTTGGATCAGTCCTAGTGTGTACAAATATTCCAATACAATGTGTACATATATACACGTAGTGCCCTCACGGATTATCTCCCTGCAATGCTTCAGAGCAAGCACGCAGTGGAGCGCCAACTCACTGAATTGTACTTTTGTGGGTTCAACACTTGCACAGAATGTGAGCTTGTTGGGTCCGATACTTAGCGTGTTTAGTTGAAAGCATTCAAAGGCTTCAAATAAAGCTTTACGCTCCAGGTGACCAAGACCCAAGATTGCTCAGGACGCTCCCCACGGAATTCAGGCGGGACCAAGATTTACTCAACCAATATTGGTTTGGTTTCCGCCTTCAGAGTGTGAAGGAGGCTTCAAAGTCCTTTGATTTGAAGGTTGAGACCAAAGCATGAGTCTGAAGGACAAGATATGAGGAGATTCCACAGCAATCAGCAATCAAAGGCCACAGGGCTATCTTTGGGAATTTCTGTTTGGCCTACCTTCAGGCGAACCTTCCACCCTCGCCCGAGGCGGAGAGATTGTCGCTCCAGCGCAGCCAAGAGGCGGAGCGGAGGGCGTTGCTGGCCCAGACGGAGGAGAGCAACGCACTTCAGGCCGTTGGAATCAGGGGTAGGTGTCACTATTTTTGAGGGGGCCCTTTTGGTGGCGGCCGTAAACCAAAAGGAAGCAGCCTTTTTTGGGTTCCCATATGTTGAAACAAACACAGGTATATTTATCAAATTACAACGAGACAACCCGGGGGAGGTAAAGCGAGCACTGGTTTTGGAGCGGCGGTTTGCCCAGGTATGCCTGGATGATCAACCCACAGGTAAGTAGGGCATAGCCTTGGCAGACTCCTGTTACAAACTACATCCCTCACGTGCGTTGAACCTATGTGAGCCAAGGTCGTCCCCAACTGCCGTTCGATCTTGGTGAGCCCCCCTCTTGTTCAATCCTTGGTGAGTGTGCCCAATACAAAGGTAAATGTTGGTGAGTGTTGACTGCTCGTAGCGGATGATTCCCACGTGCTTCAGGCGCGAAAGTTGACAAGCCGTGGACTAGATCGTAGATGCTTCGGATTTATTGGCCCTGAGGACTCCTGTCATAGACTTTTCGTTTGCCTTCCATTTCTTGTTCTTTGTTGGTGTATATATCTTCCAATTTGTCTCTCGGTTTCTCCAAACGACCTCTCCTCCCCAACCTCCCCTCAAACCGGAGGGCTTCCTGTGGAAGCTTCGGTTTTTTCAACCTCTTCTTCGACACTTGAGGGCTGCCTACACTTGGCGTGGGTATCTTCCATAGTCCGGGAGACATCTTCCATGGATGCCCTCTTGTTTGGGATACGTACCCCTTGTCTCCGCTCCTTAAGGTCAACCGTCATTCCGGAACGTTCCTGGTTTTGTTACCCTAACAGGCCCTAACACATCTCGCTGGTTAGGGAATGTGGGAATGAACCCAGGGATTCCCTTAAAGGAAGCCACAAGGGATGGTTTACAAGGGTCATTCCATATCTCATTCCCTGCTGAGCACCTTTGCTCGGTTTGTCCGGCCCGCGTCCTGCGCTCGTCGCAAGCGTCGCAAGCGCTGAGGGCTTCCTCTCGAGTTGGCACCAGTCGCTGGACGCCAAGTTGGAGCAGTTCGCCTCGCAGCTCCGAAGCGCGGAGAAGCGCGCGGAGCAATCCTCCGCCCAGGCGATCGACGGTTTGGCGTTGGGGGAGGGCAGGTTTTGGCGGGATGGGAGTCCGTTTTTTGTGTTGCTCTTGGGTGTTTCTGTGTGCGTGTTGTTTTTCTTGTTGGCTCAAGTAGTGTTTCAGTCTTTGCGTTGTAGCTGTTGTTTTTCGTGGTTGGTCTTTTTGGTCTACCTTTAAACCAACCTGGAAAGGAACACTCCAACAACAAACACAACCCATGCCAGAATTGCACGGTTTTTTGGGAGGAATCTCTGCTTTTCGGGTTACCGGG